GAGATCCGGCCCCCTCTGCCTCGGGCAAGCACCAGGAGCCATGCAGATAGATGCCCATGGAGGCCAGAGGGCTGCGGGTCCCCTGGAGCTGAGTCACAGACAGCCCTGAGCAGCCTCTTGTGGGTGCTGGGAACCAAACCCTGGTCCTCTGCGGGCTGGTGAGGACTCTCTGAGGCCTGCTCACGTCTCCAGCCACAGGCCCTCACTCTGTTAACTCTCCGCGGTCCTGGCTCAGCTGGAACTTTCCTCCTCCTGCCTCAGGCCGTCACCCCCACCCCGAGTTTCATTTCTCTTATGCTAACAGTGTATCATTAACCCTTTTCCTGAAGACGTTTACTCTATTCTTTCATTTCCTCTTGGTGGTGGCCTTTACAACTTTTTCCTAAGGACTAGAAAGAGCAATAATCTAGACTGTTTTTCTTTCATTTGGTTTAGACCTAAGTGTGAGATTTCCAAACGGAACATTAACACCAACCCAATAATCTCCCCACCCTCCACCCCCACTCACATAGTCCAAAGTGTTCTCTGACAGGCGGAGATACCATCAGCTGGAGAGTTTCTGCTTGCAGTATTTTAACAACTGTTTGATTTGCTGTGGGGCTCGAACCCAGGGCCTTACACAAGTTCATGCTCCACCACTGAACATCCTCAGTGCTAATATCTACACTCACCTTTTCACCCAGCTGCAGCAGTTCACACAGGCTGGAGCAGACCCAACCCCATCAGACCGGCGCCCTTTACTGAACTACTCTTGCTTCGAACGTTTGTTTGGTTTTGAAACAGGGTCTGAGGAAGCCCAGGCTGGTCTCTAACTCAGTGTGTATTGGGGTGTAGCAGGGATGGCCTTGAACTCCTGATCCTCTTGCTTCCAAGTGCCAGACTTACAGGTTTGATCCACCGTGAATTAAAATGTTTTCCTGGGCATGGTGTCACACACCTTTGATCCCAGCATTTGGGAGGTGGAGGCAGAGACAGGCAGATCTTTGTGAATTCAAGGACAGCCTGGTCTACATAGTGAGTTCCAGGATAACCATGGCTATGTAGAAAGACCCTGTCTCCAAAACACAACAACAACAACAATAATAATAGCAATAGTTAAAATGTTTTATTTGTTTGTTGTTGCTTTTCTTTTTAAAGATTTATTTATTTATTATGTATACAGTGTTCTGCCTATTTGTGTCCCTGCAGGGCAGAAGAGGGCACCAGATCTCATTATAGATGGTTGTGGGCCACCATGTGGTTGCTGGGAATTGAACTCAGGACCTTTGGAAGAGCAGCCAGTGCTCTTAACCACTGAGCCATCTCTCCAGCCCCTGTCGTTGCTTTTTAACAGCTCTTTGTAATGACATGTTTACCGTCTTGAAACATAATTCACAAATGAGAAGCCCTACATATCCACTCATGCAGATCCAAAACAAGCACAGCCGGGTCTGGGAGTAGGATTTTCTCTAGTGGGAGAACATCCAGGGGTATGCTACAAGACCCTACTTCAAAACAACAACAAGATGGATACACCGAGGAGTATTTTGCACAGGCATCCCTCTGAGGCAATTGCCATCGACTGAGGTCCCTGGACACTCACACTGACTTGTGCTCAGCAGATGCTGACTGTGGGTCAATCAGAGCATAGGATGATCGCTAGCAAAGAGCACTGATGTGGGAGAACACAGGTACAGGGTGGCTTCTACCAAACCTGAAGGGAGAAAGATGCACCTGAGATTAATACGAAACTCAGTTCCGTCCGTTATAAATGACGACCAAAGCTCCAGCTGTGTGCTGCAAAGTCACAGGAAAGGTCCACACTGTGCACCTGGCTTCCTTTAACCCTACTCACTAACTGCCCGTAGCCCATTTTGTCAACGGGGCTGTCAGAACGTCCTCGGTGTCCTTCCAGACCGCTCCCATAAGCAAGTGACACAGCCAAGTATGTGCTCCTACCCAGAAAGATGGGGCTAAGGCAGGAATGACCGTGAGTTTAAGGCTAGTGTGAGCAACATCATGTGACCAAAGTCTGGTGAGATGATGGCTCAGATAAAGCCACCTGCCTCCAAGCCTGAGGTCATGAGTTCAATCCCCAGGAACCACGTGGTAGAACGAGAAAACTCCTGAAAGTTGACCTCTGACCTCCACACACATGCTGTGTACATGCCCAGTCCCAATAAACAAATAAAATGTAAGTAAAAAAAAAAATAGTGAAATACTCTGTAGTGGTAGGAAGGAGAAAGGGACCGGGGAGAAGGAAGGATGAATGCTTTTGATTATAGCTCCTTGATACTCAATCAGCATGTGAGAAACGTCCAGGATGCTTTGCCTGGTTATTGAGGCCCAAGGACCAGTACAGAGGATCAAAACTAACAGGATCCTCTGTACTGTACCAAGCACGGTGGATGCTGGCCATGTATTTACTGACTCCATTTCCCTTTCCTCTAGGTTACAAGCTGGACTCCCCCCCCTCCCCGCCTTTTTTTTAAGCATGCTTGCAGTTGGGAAGGGTCCATAGGATTTAGGTCTTGGTCTCCAGGGCTCACCACAGTCATCCGTTGGCTTCACTTTGCTCAGAGATTCCTGGAGCCGTGGACCGAAGACGGGGATTCACAAGACAGAAGGTCCATGGTTCCGTGCAGACCGCGTGGAGCACAGACTCCCCAGCCTGACACATTGCATTTGAATGACACCGGTGACTCAGTGGCTTCCTATTGAGTTCAATCACCAGTATTTAGAGGTTAAAGTATCACAAGAGTGAGAGTTTCCCACTAATGTGTTCAGGAATTTCCTCTCCTCTCGGTGGTTTTAAGTAACACCCGATGAAGCGTCACTTTGAATCACTCACTCCCTGGGAGAGCCGCTTCCTTGTCAAGCTTGGTGTTCTGGTTTCACTTAGGTGGCTGTGATGAGACACCTTGATCAAAAGCAACCCGAGGGGGAAAGGCGTTTACATCCGTGTAAAGCTCCAGGTCCATCACTGGGGGACATCGAGGCAGAAGCTCGAAGCAGCTAGTCAGTAACACCCACAGCCAAGAGCAGGAAGAAGAAATTCACCTTTGCTTGCTTGGTCTCTCGTTAGCTTTCTTTACTTTGACACACTTGAGGGCCCAGCCTAGAGAGCCATGCTGCCCACAGCGGTCTGGGCCTTCCTCCATTTTTAACAGTCAAGACAGTCTCCCACAGACACGCCCACAGGCCAACCTGCTCTAGATAATTCCCCAACTGAAGCTCTTCTGAGGTAGTTCTAGGCTGTGTCCAGCGAGGCTGGGTCCAGAGAACAGTTAAAACTAACCAGCACAGAGCACAGAGGGGTATCCATGAAAGCACAGAAAGACACTGGGCACAGAGGGGGGGTCACACTGACTGAGGTGAGGCACTTTATAATGTCACGCTGAATTGATTGAGACAATATTCTGTGTGAGTGGTAGTGAGTGACCAAGGAAGCCGGGTTCACAGCGTAGATGTTCAAGAGGTTGAATGTGTTTTCTAAAAAAAAAAAAAAAAAAAGGACAAGGTTTCTCTGTGTAGCCCTGGCTGTCCTGGAACTCACTCTGTAGACTAGGCTGGCCTCAAACTCACAGAGATCCACCTGCCTCTGCCTCCCAAGTGCTGGGATTAAAGGTATTAGACACTACCGCCCGGCTCTCAAAAATATTTTAAACAGACATACAAAGACATTCAAAATGGCCAATTAGCAATGAGAAGAGGCTTAACATCTTTAGTCAGTAAGAATGCAAACCCAAATCCCCATGAGATAGCCCTTCCAAACACTAGGCTAGATATAAAACCAAAAACCACCAGCAACAGACCCCGGAGGGGTGTGGGAAAATGGGAACTCTTCCCATCACGGGTGGTCTTGTAGATTGATGTCACCGCTGTGGATAACAGAGAGACAGTTCCCAAACAGATTGACCTGAGGACTCAGCTGTTTCATTCCTGTATATTTAAACCCCAAAGGATTAAAAACAGGGATGCAAACACATGCTTGTGACAGGCGTACTGGTACACACCTGCCATCCCAGGACTCGGGAAATTCTAGCTTTTTCAATTGTGGGTCCCAACCCCAGAAGTGATCGTGAAATTGAATGTAGGGGATGCGCAAAATCTGGCTGTGAGAGAGGGTTTCTGATTATGCACTGACCAGAAATTAATTCAAAATCAAATGTATGATGAATCCAGCCCGCCCTCCCACGGCATCACACAGCACTGCAGCCTTGGTTCTGAACACCCGGGGCGGGCTCTTAGTCCTGCACATGCCATCATGCTACAAAACACTGGCATCTGAAGTCTGACTTGAGACAGTTGCATGTTGTGAATTGTGGGTTTGTACTAGATGTCCTAAGTAAGCTCTCTGCTCTTACAGAAACACCATGGTTTAATCACAGAAACAAGGACTTTTAGTATTTTCCCATCATCACTTAAATATTGAGTCAGTACATATATTTTTTATTGTATTGTGTTAGAATGCTTGTTTGTTTTGTTTGTGCTTTTGGTTTTTTGGTTTTTTTCAAGATAGGGTTTCTCTGCGTAACCCTACTGTCCTGGAACTTGCTCTGTGACCAGGCTGGCCTTGAACTCAGAGATCCACTTGCCTCTGCCTCTTAGGTGCTAGGATTAAAGGTGTGGACCACCACCGCCTGGCTAGAATGTTTGATTTTTAAAAAACTGATGTTTGAGTTGCTGACTTGAGTTTATTTAAAACAAACAAACAAACAAAAAAACCAAAGCAACCCCCCTCAAAAAAAACCTGAAAACAAAACCCATGATTCTGGAGAGATGACTCCGTGGCTATGAGCACTTGCTGCTCTTACTGAGGACCCAGATTCAGTCCCCAACACCTATGTGGCAGCCACAACCATCTGTACCTCCAGTGCCAGGGGATCCAACTCTGTCTTTTAACTGCCACAGGTACCAGGCATGTACATGATACACATGCAGGCAAAACACTCATACACATAAAATAAAATAAACACATTAAAAAATGTTTTTAATCATTAAATAGATTTGGGCTTGGGATTAGGCCAACAGTTTCTGAAGTGTCCCCAAACATACTTCTGCCATTCTGTGCTATATAAAGCAGCTTTCTCTGCATTGACAATTATAAAATCAAAATGTCATTCAACTCTGATGTTCTGTGTCCTGCAGTATCAAAATATTCAGGCCTGATTTAATTCTCCATGTAAAAATAAATAAGCACATCCGTCTCTGTAGTGTGCAAATTTGCTTCCATCATTAATAAATGGTAGCATTATATGCATAGCAAAGAAATTATTTAAAATAATTTTATTGGGACCTGGAAAGACAGTTCAGTGGTTAAGGGTACTTGCTGCTCTTCCCAACAACCAGAGTTAGGCTCATAAAGGTGCCAGGTGGCTCATAAGGTCCTATAACTCCAGCTCCAGCATATTTGATACACTCTTCTAGCCGCTGAGGAAAAACACACATTCTCACACTCCCACACAAAAATACAATTTTTTTAAAAAGTAGAATAAAACAAATTCATTAATGATTAGTTATCAGCAAATGGTTGCTTTGTATATATGTTTCATAGACCTATACCTGGGGACATGGAAAAATTGGGGGATCAGAAAGGGGTCACAATCAGAAAGAGTTTAAGGAGCCTTGGGGAGGTGAATGCTGGAGGATCAAGAGTTCAAAATCATCCCTGGGCCTGAAACCCCTTCTCCAAAAACCAGAGGCCATTTACTAAGTCCGTCTGTTGTCCAGGTCCGTCGTGAGGAAGAAGTAAATTCAGAGAAGCAGTTGAAGATGAGCAGGCGCCAGATTCTGGAACGAGGAGCCACTGGGGAGTGAACGGATCACTCATTTATCAGCTGACACTCTGTGTCCCTTCCCACGGTTCACTCTGTGATCAGTGAGTTTGAGCTGGATTTGAAGAACTCCTAGTGTGTGGGTGTCCTAGGACCGTCTACGCTGTGTACATCCGGGCCTTAGCAGGTCCTCCTGGGAACAGTGACAACGGGACAATATGGTGGAGACTAGGTGGGCTGTCAGAGACCTGAGGTCAGGACATGGTCACTCCCTCTTCCTCTCCAGAACTCTAGAACTCCTGCTTCGGTTCTTCCATACCTGCCACCAGGAACCCGAAGGAGTGGGAGAGAACAGTGCATTTAGACACTGAGGTGACAGTGTCTGCCCCGCTGACAGCTTTAGCCGCCAGTGATGTCCCGTCCCCTCTTCTGAAACTTGAGCGTGTGCAGGGCCTGCCTGGCTGGTGCTCACGGACACCTGCAACCCTCTGCGTCTGTCTTCTCCTAGCCCGTCTCCATCCTCCCTCTTCCCAGCAGACAGATCACCAAGGATCCAGTTTCCCCATGCAACCCTCCTCCAACTCACCTCTGCCAACCTCCACAGGCCAAACAGGGTCTCTTCACGGGTTCTTGATGGGCTTTGATCTCAAAACTAGTAAAGAAGCCCGAGGCATACGGCGCTGTAAGGCAGGACAGGAGGGGAGACACCCGACACTCACACACCCCAGGTCTGGGTTTGACCTTGCCTCGCTTTCGGGGCAAGGTCTGGGCCCCTCAGCAGCACTCCAGCTCGCCTCTCGGGCTCACTTCTCTGTGTGTCGGTTAGCTTTCCTTCCCCCTCAAAGGGTGTCTCGATCACTCCAGGGGCCAGCTGGACGCTGGCACTAGGAGGTTCTCCACAGCTGTTCTCCTTTCCTGAGCCACACAGATGTAAAGCCTCAGTCTCTTGCCAACCACAGTGGACTGTCCTCAAACCAAGATGAGCCCCTCCTCCAGCCTGCTCAGAAAGAAATGAAGACGTGTCCGAATTAGGGCCCAGCTGCACAAAGCTGTGAGACCTGGAACTCTGTGACTCAGTTATCCCAGTTGTCACAGGGTATCGGGCTTCTGTCTTGAGCCTTTCTCAGGGGCAAGAGGCATTACACAGGTCCAACTGCTTGGCATGACTGAGAGCTGTCACTTCCTGACCAGAAAGCAGAGTCCTGGTGGCCTCTTTGAAAAGTCAAAGCCTTTGATGCTGTCGAGGATGAAGACGAAGGCCATAGGGTGCACACGTGTACGTACACACACAGACACACACACACACACACACACACACACACACACACACCTCCGCTCCTCCCTGGCAGCCCCGCCCTCTTGCTTCATCAGCTCCCCACCTCCCTTCCACTCAGGGTGCCCCACCCGCCCGCCCTGGCTCCTAACCCACCCTTCGGCTGCCGGAGCCCTGAGGGAGCAGGTGTCCTCATGAGCGCCAAGATGCAGCCATGGCTCTGGCTGGTCTTCAGTGTGAAGCTGGCAGGTAAGACCCAGAGTGGGCTAGCATAAGCCTGCACCAGAGCAGAGAACGTAGACCGGGCAGACTCCGCAACAGGAGGAACAGACAGGAGCCAGGCTGTGGGAACAGGGCAGGCTGGTGGGGGGGAAGAAGATACCACCCAGGAGCTCATTTTTCAGAAGCTGAGGGCAGAAGCCACCACTGCCCCACAGCCTGAACTGGAAGGGGAGAGAGGAAAGGAAGAAGAAATAAAAGAGGAGAAAGAAACCGAAGGGGAAACGTAGTTGCTTAGGGCGCACACAGGGATGTGCCCCATGCAGTTCTCAGAGGCCCAGGCCGGCCCAGGCCAGGGGCTGTAGACACACTCTTAGTACGTCTGGGGAAGTGCTTCTAGCAAACTGGACAAACACTGCTGTACCTGGCTCAGGGCCAACTATGGTGAGGTGCTCACTACGACCCCCTCACCCTCCAGTGTCCTCTGGAGTCGGGGTCCTACGCAGCAAGGCTCCCCCAAGAAGCAGCACTAGGCACGGCAGATGGGATGTTGGGGCTGGCACAGACGTGTGGCCTAAAGTCTGTCGTTGTGATCAGACCCAGCGGGTGTGCTTTTTAGAGGGAGACTCCTCGAATCTGCACTGGTCTGGCACCACCTGAAGCCCAAAACGATTACAGAGTTGAGGGAGACAGGGCATGGCAGCCCCTGCCTCTGACCAGGCTAGCTCAACGACATCACAAAGGGAACAGAGGCAGGGCTATTCCAAGCCACTAAAGCTACTGCTGATCACTCTAGAAATGCCATCCCTCTGAAAATGGAATCCGGGGCTACCAAACAGATCAAACGAGACCATGTGTGACTGGAAGCCTGGCTGTGCGTGTCCTCTGGGCTCATTGGAGGGTCTCCTGCCGTCTGTGGAGTTGTGGCCCCATTTTGCGTGCGGTTCAATTCCGAGGCTCTGAGCTCATTCGCCCAAGTCCTATGACCTGGGTTTGAGTGTGAGTCCACTCCACACAGGCTGCGTGACCCTGAGTATAGCTTCCCCTTGAGCTGTCTGCTCCCGGGTAAAACGAGTCTCTCCCCCGTAGGATTTGGTGAGGATCAAATCAGACAACACACATGCACACTGTGCCTGACGCACTGCAATAAAGACTGGCGTGACCACTTCACATTAACATCCCCAAAGAAGCCAGTGACCCAAAGCAATAAAAATGGCTGCCACAGCCCAGAAGTGGTAGCCTGATACTCAGGGGAAGGGAGATGTAGTGGCAACTGAGCCCCAGGGAAATATTCATTCTCTCCACTCGAGTGGAAGCTCAGAGTGGTCCGAGGGTGGACTCTGGGTTTAGTTCATCACATCAGTCCTAGGGAAGGCCATGATGGGGCCGTAAGACCTGAGCCACAACTACAGGCAGTGATCTCACCATTAACTCAAGCAGCTGGTTCTCCTGGGCTCACACACCCTCTGGTCCCTGATCAGCCAGCCCTGTCCTCTCTGTTATATCTTGGCCATGGCCCTCTGCTCCGAGCCAAAGAAAAGGGCTTTCTGGGTCAAACTGGGTTTGTTAGAACCCTCGTGGTCCTGGGTATGAAAGAAACTTAGTCTGATCCTCCGTGAGACTTCACTTGGTGCCTAGAACATCCCCTGAGACCATAGACCTGCCAGCAGAGTTTACCTGTGCGAGGGTTTCACACAGGTCCCTACCTCACTGTCCGCAGATGATGACCCGTGTGAGGGTTTCACACAGGTCCCTACCTCACTGTCCGCAGATGATGACCCGTGTGAGGGTTTCACTGTTCACATATGATTTCACTTCTCTTTTTCTCCTTGAAATTCATAATGTGGCTCAGGCTGGCCTCACACTCAAAGCAATCCTTCTGCCTCAGCTTCCCAAGTGTTAGGATTCTGAGTGTGCACCACCATACCCGCCTTCCTTTCTTTTCCTTCCAACCCTCCGCAGCAAGCAGGCCCATAGCGCCACGCCAAGCTGCCCTTCTTTCACAGGAGACCGCGAACTTGGTGACTTCTGAGGTCCCACAGCTGGTACAGGGCAAAGGCGGTGTGCACGGCCATGCCTGCCACTCCTTTGCCTGCCCGTTCTTCTCATCTGAGACAAACGAACTCTCAGTCTTGCTTCTGTGATGACTGCTCTGCCCTGAGGGGCAAGAAGTCCGTGACAGGTCCATTGCGGGATTGGGGAGTAACAACCACCTGCAGGGTCAGCTCCTTGAACTAGGTCCAGAAATCTCACACTGCCCAAAGGAGCCTTGCCCTGGGCCTAAGACTCCAGATTCCTCTCCCAGTTTGCTCCAGGTCTCTGTCAGCTGCTTAGCACTATCAACGGCCTGTCTCTGCAGAGCCACAGCCAGGTGAGGCGGGCAACTAACTAGCTTTGGCTTTCGACATTGGCTCTTGGGAGTTGAATCCCGTGAGACTCCGAACAAGCTGATTTATTGCCGGTGTTTCCTCATCTGGGGAAGGGGGATAAACATCCAGGAGCCAGGGTGAGACTTGGTTAAGATGACTTATGCCAAGGGCCACAGGTGGAAGAGTAGATTGTCGGCCAGTTGCCTCAGTAAAGGCAGGCACAGGGAACCCTGCCCTGCAGTTGATGTTTGTGAGTTCAAAGACACCGACTGCTGTTAACACCCTGGCTCTTTCTCCAGGCAGACTCTCCCCTCAGTTTGCCTCCCAGACAAACTCATGGTGATTCTGAGGCCCCACCGCTGTGAGCAGAAATGTGTGCCAATGGTTTCTGCCCCTTCTCGTTTCTAGACGTTGAACTCAGGAGGTCAGGTTGGGTGGTACACACCTTTAGCTGCTGAGCTAGCTCACAAGCCCTCCCCCTACCGTCTCTCTCTTTTTTTGAAGACAGGTTCTGATGTAGCCCAGGCTAGCCTTGGACTCACCAGGTAACCAAACTTGAAGTTCTGATCCTCCTGCTGCAACCCACAGAGAGCTGAGATTACATGTATATAGCAACAGCCTGATTTACGTCTTCTGGTTTCTTGTAGCTCTCTGGAGCAGCTCTGCCCTCCTTCAGACCCCCAAGTCCCTGACCCTTCTAACCAATCGATCGGCAAAAGTGTTCTGTGAAGCTAAAAGTCTCCCTAAGACCACACTCATCCACTGGCTGAGGCAGCGCCGGGGACCCGCCAAGGAGAGGCGCTTTGAGTTCCTGGCCTCGTGGAACCCTTCCAAAGGAACCTCTGTGTATGGTGAAGGGGTGAAGAAGGAGGACATGATCATGTCTTCGGATATAAGCCGGTACATACTCGAGCTCAAGAGTGTGAAGCTGGAGGACAGCGGCACCTACTTCTGCATGATGATCGGGAGCCCCAACCTGATCTTTGGGATAGGGACGGAGCTGAACGTGGGTAAGCATGGTTTCAAGGCTATGAAGGAGCGTGCACACGCGCACGCATGCACACACACACACACACACACACACACACACACACACGGTACAGGGGCTGCCTGCTCTCAGTGAGCCCCCACTCTACACCCAGGACTAATCAAGCCACCTCTAAAACTAATAGGAAATACACACTGAGAGTTACCCAGGCCAAGCACCTTTGAGGATTGCATGTAGCTGTGTCCCTTAATGGGGCCACCCACCCAGCAGACGGTGTATTCTACTCCCGCTTTGGATGGGAAGCCGATGAGGTGAAAACAGATAGGTCAGTCAAAGGTGGGCGCTTGTGATTCGACACCCCAGTATCCCTGTAGGAACCCTGAGTGTACCTACAGACTCTCACTGCCTGGGTACATGTACACACACACACACACACACACACACACACACACACACACACAGATCATTTCTGAGGTGGCAGAGAAGCGGTTTGTCCTCAGCATTCTTTGTAGGGTTCTATGGCTCAAATCCACACTTGCGGCTTCAGGGGATAAAGAAACTGGACCCCAGGCCTAGCCAGGCTACCAATCCATCACACGCCTTTCCCTTCCCCCAGCCTCAGTTCCCATACCTGGACAAGGCAGCTGCTGGCCCGCCTCTCTTTTTTCTAGTTCTCGGAAGATGCAGTTTCATTAATATGCAGAAGTACCTTGCAAATCATAGATGTGATCTTCCGTTTTCTAAGAGGCACCTAAGTAGGCAGAAAGAAGTGAAATGAGTTTCACGATGCATTTTATTGAACCCAATTTAGCAAAACAGGTAACTTATTTTTCATACATGGCGTTGGGTACATATTTTATGTGTGCAACGGATCTCTGTCCAGACTAACCACCCTGGACAGTAAGGATTCATCTCTTGGGGTGGAAAGCAATCCTCGGAGATTCTCTCAGGCCCCTGGTTGGCTGTAGTTCTGTCTCCAGCTCAGGCCAGGACTGGGCTTCTCACTGGTTTGCTTCCCGCTCACCTGGGGGCTGTGAGTCACAAGGGCACCCCAGCCACCCTCAGAAGGTAGGCCACTCGGCCTAGGGAGGCACAGAGACAGTTGGGGACAAGGCCAGAGTTACAATGAAAACCAACAAGGACAATAAAAACAGAGCGAGGTCCCCATGGCCTCTCTAGTCTCCGGTCTAACATGGTGGCGGGGAGAGGGGAGAGTAAGGTCGGGTTGTGTTTGTTTTATTATTTTTGTTTCTGTGAGCACCATGCCTTCCCAGTGCCTCGGGGTCTGAGAAAGGTGGATGTGCAATAAGAGCAGGTGATTTTTCCATCTCTACCTATCCTGGCTTTCCATGTTTCCAAGTCCTGTGTGCTGCCCAGCAACCCAGGGTCTGCAGTGTCTTCCCAGGGACAAGGACACCGGGAGCCTGAGCCTACCTGCCGGGCTGGAGGGTCCAAATGTTTTGGAGAAGTGTGGGTAGTATTGAGAGTGTTGGGAAAAACAGACCTTGTTCAGGCCCTCCAGCACACTATGGGTTCCAAGGACCTGTCCCTCTAAAAAAAAAGACAGAGACAGAGAGGTCAAACCCATGGACCAGGAGGTGTTGAGGAGACCTGAGGCAGAGTGAGATGAAATGAAAACAGAACAACGTCCTCTTGTCCCCACGCCCTCCCATCAGACCCAGGCTGCTGCGCCAGCCAAGGCCCTGGAGGCTACAGCTCGCTCCCTCCTGGGCTCACCACTGAGCAGCTGGGAGACTCCTGCTTCTTTCAGCATGAGCAGAGGCAAACGGACCTAGAGTAGGAGTGTTGAGCGCTAAAGGACTTAACACCCAGCAGGGCTGGACTCTGGGACCTTGTCACTGCTAGTGGCTGTCACTACAACAGCTCCTTGGCTCCAATGGTCAAAAGCCTGGCAGTGCCCTAATGTGGTTATCTTTTGTCAGGGATGGTACCGGAAATGGTCTTTTGGTTTTTCCTAGCCCGTCTCCTACTACTTTGCTGAGGGTAGAATGCAGGAGATCAGTTTTCTTGGCTAGCAAATGCTAAGGGTGACTGGTCCAGAGAAAGTCCAGACCTCAGAACCTCCTGGTCTCCCTGCTCAGTGCGTCCACTCCTACCTCTCTCCCAACCCCTCAGCGTGAGACACTGAATCAAAGCTGAGGAGAGGAGGCGCCATCCAGGAAAGGGAGAAGGGTCTGGAGCCCCAGCTTGTAGCTTATCCACCTCTCCCAACTGGTGATGTTCCTGTAGGGAGGGACAACCATCTCCTTTCCACCAGCTTGGGGACTGGCAAGGAGGCTCAGAGATTGGTCATGCCAAAGGACCAAGGGGTCTTCTTGGTGTGGTTTGGTTTTTGCGACAGGATCTTTTTACATAGCCCTGGCTGCCCAGGTCTTCATGTAGACTGGGTGAGGCTCCTCGGACTCACAAAGATCTACCTGCCTCTGTCTCTCAAGTGTTAGGATTAAGGGCGTGTTCCACCATGCCTGGCTGGACCAAGGACCTCAACCCAAGGTCTTCCGCCAAGCATAGTCATGCCTACTGCATCCTTTGCTGGGTATGCCGCGCTCTTGATTTCTCACGACATAGTAGAAGTCATCATCCTTTTTGTTTTTCAAGACAGGGTTTCTCTGTGTAGTTCTGGCTGTCCTGGAACTCACTTTGTAGACCAGGCTGGCCTCAAACTCAGAGACATCTGCCTGCCTTTGCCTCCCTGGTTTTGGGAGTAAAGGCGTGGGCCACCACCTCCTAGCAGAAGTCATCTTTTTACTACGGATGGGAAGCTGAGGAACAGACGACTTAGCCCAGGCTACACAGTTGTTAATTATGGCACAAGGCTCTGGTGGCTCCATAGCCTCCCTCCAGTACTCCAGGCTATCCCCACCCACTGGCTCTACGTTCATCTGAGAACTGAGAACTCCATGCCCGGAAGAAAGGTGCACAGTCTGCCTGTGAGTCTTGCTGCTTACCTACCTGACATATGGATCTTTCTTCTTTCTGCAGTTGAGGCCTTTCCTACCATTGCCCCGACCACCAAGAAGACCATCCTCAAGAAGAAACAGTGCCCATCCCCCAACCCAAAGGCCCAGAAGGGTAAGTTTCCCATCACTGCACCCACAGGAAAAAAAAAAGGCAGCTTCCTACTTTTCCTTCCTCCTGGTACAAACACTGGCCGAGTCTTTGACCTGTAGCCTATTTCTCTAGCCCCAAGCTGGTGCCAACAAAAGGGGCACTGGGTATGACAGCAGGTCACAGTCCAGTGAGGCCACACCCACAAATCATCACAGAACAAGACGTTAAGGAAGATACAAACCCCACAAACAGGTGCTCACAGCAGCACAATTCACCATAGCCAGAAAAGTGGGCACCCCCCAGATGTTCCTCACCTAATGCGTAGGCTAACCAAACAGGCTAACCAATACAAGGGCACGGAAAGAACGCAGTGCTGGGTTCACAGGACGGCTCAGGAAGTAGCAGCACTTGCTGCCAAACCTGACAGTGTTCAGGACACGAGACCCACACGGCACAAAGAGAAAACAGGACTCCTGCAAGGAAGGCATCCTTTACCTTCCACATGTGTGCCACGGCACTCAAATGCACACACCGTATACTCAATCAGCAAATACATGTAATAATAAAAAAAAAAAGAATTAAGTACTGTCTGGGTATGGCGGTCCATGCCTATAGTCCTAACACTCAGGAGACTGAGGCAAGAGCACAAGTTCAAGGTCAGCCTGAGCTATGTCGAGAAGCCCTGATAAAGAAAGAAAGGAAGAAAGAAAGAGCGAGCCCAGATGTGGCGGCACACATCTGTAATCCCAGCACTCAGAAGGTAGAAGCAAAAGGATCAGGAGTTTAAAGTTATCCTCAACTACTTGTCACATTTGAGGCTAGCCTGGGCTATGTAAGACCCTGTCTCAATGCCCCTTGCCCAAATAATGTACTGTTACATGCTGAAGTTAGGATGAATCTTGAAAATGCACAGTGAAAGGTCAGTTATAAAAAACAAAATGCAAAAACAAAAAATCCACACATTTTAGCCAGGTGGGGTAGCGCAGGCCTCTAATCCCAGCACTCAGAGGCAGAGGCAGGTGGATCGCTATGAGTTCAAGGCCAGCCTGGTCTACAAAGCAAGTTCCAGGTCAGTCAGGGCAACATAGTGAACCCAGTCCTGACAACAGCGCAGACCCTACATACGTGAAGTGTCCATAGCTCTGAGGGTCACAGAGACAGAAGTAGAGGAAAGGCGGCCTGCAGGTGGGCACTGGGGAGCAATGAGGAGTCTTAACCAGTCCAGAGGGGTTTGGTTTGGTTTTGTCTTTCTGGAACTCTGAAAATGTCCCAAAGTTAGACGATGTGATGGCTTTACATCTCTAGGAAGATTCTAAAAAGCATTGAGTTTTTAGAATTTTACATAGCCAAGGCTGCCTGGAACTAACTTGAACACAGGCTGACCTCAAATTCACAATCCTTCTGCCTTAGGCTCACAGGTTTAGGGATTATAGACTTGTACACCTGCTCAAAACTGTCTAGCTTAAACAGGTGGAGTTTGTGGTTTGCAAATCATATCACAATCAAGCTGTCAACAAACAAAAACTCCCAGGCCAAGGGCCAGCACTGCACTCCTTTCCAGGCTAACAAAGGACCTAACACAAAGGGTAGGGCTCGGGCAAGCTGATGAGTGAACGCCAGGCGTCTCGGCTGGAGTAGGCTCATGCGCCGCACCCTTGAAGCCTTATGCTCAAATGTGTTTCTGGAAACATACTGACTTCCATCCCCAAAAGCTTCTGGTGACAAACAGAGTTCCATCTGCCGCTGCACTGCCCGGAGAACAAACCACACCCCAGGACTGCTGGCTGCAGACCGAGTTGCTTCACTGCTACATACAAAGGCCCCAGAGGAGGTGCTCCCCGCAGGGTGGGGAGACAGGGAGGGGGCTGCCTCCCGAGGTCACCGTGGAGGTTTGGTGCCTTATGCCTGTAATCCCAGCACCGGGGAGGGTGAGGCCAGCAATCAGGAGTTCGAGATTATCCTCAGCTACAATGCAGTCTGGCTATATGAGACCCTGTCTCAAACAAATCAAAACACTAATCAAAAAAGAAAACCCAAATTTTTGAACAGAAAGCCTTTCTGTTATGAATATGAATATGAAAAGGAAGACAGAGTGACTTCATTTGTATAACATCTTATGCCCTGAAAACTTGATTAAAAGGATTGAGAGCCAGGCAACAAAAATACAAACCCCACAAAATACAGTCCCTGTTGGCCTAGTTTTTCAGAAGGCTGAAGCAGGGGGATCAGTTGAACTCCTAAGTGAGAGGAGGAGGAGGAGGAGGAGGAGTCTGAGCAACGTAGTGAGATACTGTCTCAAAAATGAATTAAGTCAGGCATGATGGCTTTTTACCTGTGATCAAGAGGATGAGGCAGGAGGATCAGTGTAAGTCGGAGGCTAGCCTGGACTCCATCGTAAATTCTAGACCAGGCTGATCTACAGAATGAGATCTTGTTTATAAGTACATTAAAAAAAAAAACCACACACACACATGCATACATATATACACAGAAATGGGAAGAGGGAAAGAAGAGAGCGGGGGAAAAAGAAGAGGGAGAGGGAGGGAAGGAAGGAGAGAGGAAGTAAGAAAGGAGAGAGGGAAAGGGAGAGAGAGAGAGAGAGAGAGAGAGAGAGAGAGAGAGAGAGAGAGAGAACTTTTATATAGAGAGGCAGCCATCAGTTGGAATAAATAACCATGCTCCCCAACCTCAGCAGCATCCCTGGCTTCCGTTTTCCTGTGGTCACTCTGCAGGAGCCTCCTTTGCCCCTGCCCGCCTCCTCTGTTACTCCACACTAGTCCACTGCCTGGGAAATCAGGGGCGTATAACTCGCGTGCTGTCCATCATCTTCCCTCCCTTGAGCCTCACCAGCCGGGTGAGCCATAACCGATCTGTCAAGCTGTGCATCAGGACTCTGCCAGCTGAGCTAGATCCCCAGCCCAGGCCTTGGTTTCTCAAAACTACGAAGGGAGAGGGAATGAAAAAACAACTCCTTGCCTTCCGACCTCAAAAGCCGAAGCTTCCAGTTAGCGCTCTCCCTGGTGCACCTAGCCGAAATTCTCTTCCTCCCTCACGTGGAGGGCCTTCTAGACTTCTCCACCAAGAGTCCAAGCCTGCACTCTGTCCTTTCACCCATGACACCTCAGCCCTTCAGGGAGATCAACTATGGGGCTGATCTGAGACCAGAAAGTGTTGAAGAAGGTTCTAGAACATCAAGGATACAAGCCCTGCAGCTTAGCTAGCGTGCAAAAACTAGACAAGTGAACAGATGTCCGAATCACAGAACAGTCGTGCAAGCGGCTGATGCAAGCAAATAGGCTGAAGCGCACACAGAATCGGGACTGAAGTAAAATCAGTCATTCTCCCTCTCTCCCATGAAGACACACTGGACAGTCAAAAGTTAAGTGCCATCCACAAGGGCCGGTAAGGTGCACCTGCTGGGTGGGCGTGAAAACGAAGGCACCTGACAGTCTACTACAACCCAAATGGACAGAGTCTGTGGTTTAGTAGCCCCCATTTTCAGCTTCTGCCTCAGGAAGGCACCTGCATACACAAACGCTCCAGAATGTTCTCTGCGAGGCTGTTTATAAGAGTAAAGCACAGGAAACAGCTAAGATTCCCGCTGGTGGCTAAGTAAACAATGGTGTGCCCGCAGGACCACCTGTGACCCTGCTGGGGCAGAGCATGTGCCGGCATGATTAAAGGATGGGGAGGGATGCATTCACAGGGAAACAATGAACAGGGCACAACCCGCTGTGCGAAAGGGAGAAAGCAAAGGGGCCCGGGATGCGGCTCAGTTGGTAGAGTGCTTGCCTAGCATGCACGAAGCCCTGGGCTCAATCCCTAGCCCGGCAGACGTGGTCATAATGGCCCATAAGTGTAATCCCAGCACTTGAGAGATGGAGACAGGAGAATCAGAAGTTCAAGATCATCCTTGGCCACAGTGAATTAGAGACCAGCCTGGGATACAGGAAATCTTATCTTTAAAATAAAAAAACACAAGACAGCAGCTAGGGAGAGGACTTTTCGGGTCAAAGTGCTTGCTGTGAAAGCATGAGGCCCTGGGTTTAGATCATGAGCACCCACATAAAAAGCTGGGGGACGTAGAGGCAGGAGAACCTCTGGGGCTTGCTGGCCCCAGTCTAGTGCCAGGCTTAGTGAGAGACTCTGTCTCAGGGGAAAGAGGTAGAGAGTGATAGGGCAGGACACCTGCCATCCTCCTCTGGTCTCCACACCCACACACATGTGCACACACCCCATATGCACACTCGCATACACGTATATGAACAAACGATAAAAATTGCACATACCTGTGAAAACTGTATGTTTAGACGCAAAGGGGAGGATTACAACATTATCAGTTTTGGTCTGTGAGCATTCCAACCAGGTGTAAACTACAGTGAAAATATAGCTGTCTATTTTTTTTTGTGAAATTCAAATAGTTCTTTTAAATGAATAGTAACATTTTATTACTAGGCATGAGATGTATCTATTTCCTTTGAACACAAACAACTTCCGAGTTTTATTAGCACTTTAAAAATATGGATGTAACGACATTTTCCATGTGAAATTACCTGTGATATTTAAAGTGAATTTTAAAATCAACCAGAAGGAAGTGTGCTAAAAATACACCCAGTGGTGCTGGCTCCTGGAAGGGGAGTCAGACAGAGCTCCGTGAGTTCCAGGCCAGCCAGGGCTACAAACTGAGGGCTGCATAGTGAGATGCTGTGTCAAAAACCAGCAACAACAAGCCGACCAGTGGGACAGCCTGGGAGGAGGGCTGCTCCCTGCCTGCGTCTGAATTGGTGCTGAATACATGCCTCGTGTCTTTTTCAGGCCCGACGTGTGGGCTCATCACCCTCAGCCTGCTGGTGGCCTCCATGCTGGTGCTGCTGGTTTCCCTGAGTGTGGCCATCCATTTTCACTGTGAGTTGGTGCTTACAGGACATTGTGGGGGCCCCCATTTTGTCACCTAAAGTGTAGCTAGCCATACTTTCTTCGCTAGGGCAGCAGAGTAAACGGTAAATTTGCCCTGACAAACCTTATGGCTCCGCAAGTGACCCTTTCTGTCTTTGAGGGACTTTGGGGGAGTGCAGGGACTCGAACCCAGGGCATGTTGGATGCTCTGTACCACAGAGACACACCACCCCACAGGCCCAGGAGGCCAATGTGAGACTCAGGCTATCTCTGCAGTCAGATAAACCCTAGGTTTGAGCCCACCGACGTTGGCGTCAGTGGGGTTCAACTGCTGCACCCAAGCATAGACCACTGCCTACCTACCACGGCTGCTATCTGTGACGTCCTCAGGGCCCATGTGCTGGGTAGAGGGGGGGGGGGCTTGTGGGCAGTAGAGATGAAAGCCCAGTGCCCAAAAGAGCTCACCTGTGGCCTTTGAATGGTGTTCCTAGAAGGGTGTGTGTTCCCACACTCCTGCTCAGGGGCACTGCTCTCAGCTCCTCTGTCCCCCAGGCCCTGCGGGCACTGGCCTCATAAAATGGACAGGAAAGCAGAGGAGAGGCCAGACTACCCGTGGTCCCTCTGTTCGTTCACCTCTGCCACCGGGAGCACATCCCTTTTCATCCCTGGGCATCTATGATCGAAAGAGGGAAGCGTCAGGGACACCAGCCAGATCAGAGGCTCTTAACTTTTCCAAGGTCACAGATCCCTGTGAATTTCTGACGGGTCGTGGGCCCCACCCCCAAGAGAACTGCAGCTGAGGGCCTGGGTACTTTGGTACACTGCTGTCTTCACACACAAGTCTGTGTGTACCCCATTCTAAGAACCCCAGTGGCCAGGCTGAGCCTCGTGCACATGCCTGCAATCCCAGTGCTTGGGATGTAAAGGCAGAAGGATTAGGAGTTCAAGGCTAGCCTTGGCTACATAGTGAATTTGAGATTTGAGGCCAGCCTGGGCCACCTAAGATCCTGTCTCAAAAACAAATAAAAGCGTTCTGTGGGAGTGAACACAACACACTTCTCTTTCCATCCTGCATCCCGGTGGGAGCTCGCACGAGCCGCTTTGGATGCCTCTGAGCTCTGGCGCCTGGCCAGCTGCAAAAGGCAATGACATTTATTGTGTGTTCTTGAGATTTGAACCTAAGGCCTTGTGTCCCACCACTGTGCTGCCCGCCCTCCAGTCCTCAAGAAAGCTTATTTAAGGTAAAACTGGCCGAGCAGTGGTGGCACACGCCTTTAATCCCAGCACTTGGGAGGCAGAGGCAGGCGGATCTTTGTGAGTTCGAGGCCAGCCTGGTCTACAGAGAGAGATCCAGGAAAGGCACAAAGCTACACAGAGAAACCCTGTCTCGAAAAACCAAAAAAAAAAAAAAAAAAAGATAGAACTGGAGTAGATGACTTTCATTAAAACTCTGGCATTAGCTACATGGCTTTTAGGCAAGTTACTTGACAATTCACATGCTCCGTGCCTCAGTTTCCACACACGTAAGATGGATATAGTGGTAGTAGAATCTAGTAGCATGCGTGAAGGCTGTTAAAAAATGTGGAATGAATGAATGATTTTAAATACTTTAAACGTATATAAGCAAACAACAAAAGTGTGAAATATGAAGAATTTGGGGCCCACCCTAGCACCACAGATGAAGTTGTGGGTGTTGGTTAACCCTGCCATCTTCCTCTCGGGCTCCGAGGCTTGATGCTGGTGACCAGCAAAGCACTGACTCGCCTTTCTCTGCTCTTCCAGGCCAGCGCAGAAAAGCCCGAATTCGCTTCATGAAACAGTAAGTGCTGTTCTCCAAAAAAGCCAGGAAATGGGGGGGGGGGGTCCTGAGGGTGTGGATGACTTGGCAGAGTGCTTGCCTAGCATGCTCAAAGCCCTGGGTTCAGTCCCCAGCACCATGTGAACCAAGCATAGTGATTTACTCCCGGCACTAGGAGGTGGATTACAAGTTCAAAGTCACCAGGTGTGGTAGAGCACACCTTTAATCCCAGCACTTGGGAGGCAGAGGAAGGCTGATTTCTGTGAGTTTGAGGCTAGCCTGGTCTACATAGTGAGTTCCAGGACAGCCAGGGCTACACAGAGAAAACATGTCTTGAAAAGAAAAAAAAAAAAGGAAGAAGCTCAAAGTCAAAGTCATTCCCTGCTATATAGTACCAGGCCAGCCTGAGGCTACAAATCCTATCTCAGAAGTAATTAACCAGCTACGTAAATTTAAAAATACATGAAAAAAGGTCATGTATTTTTACCTGTCAACCTTTAGCAGGAGCTAGAGGCTTGTACAAGACAGAGGCTGTGGTTGCTCCTTAACGTCAGGTCTAGGACCCCATCCTCAGGCTCAGACAGTGTTCTTGGATTTGATTTGTTGTTGTTTTGAGACAGGGTCTCCCCTATTCCATGCTGGTCCTGAACTTGCTATTTGCTAAGGCTGACCTTTAACTCCCGATCTTCCTACCTCCACCTCCTGAGTGCCGGGACGGCACACATACCACCATGCTGAAGATCAAAATCAGGGCTTGGCGCACACAGGGAAATGCTCTACCGACTGAGCCCCAGCCCGCAACACTTGGATGTGATGTTTTCCTCCAGCACAGAAGCTGTTTCACATCTGCCAACCAACCATACATATCAGTTTGATCCCCAGAACATCTACACATACACACACACACACACACACACACACACACACACAAAGTTTGAAGAAAGAAAGGACCATGTCTCCAAATGGAATAGGGCAACAGAGCCTTGTGCTCAAGGGAGAGACAGGCATACATCTGAAATGGCAGCAAGCACCTTTACCCACTGAACAATCTCTCCGGCCCTGCCTGATATATTTTATAGGCCGTTTGTAATTATAGTTTAGGTGGTGAGCAAGTTCTGACGGTGACCTGGTTCTGCATGCTCTGGGCTGGAATTAGAAACCACCTTCACCTAACAGACGAGAATCATAACGTGAGAGCTTCTAAGACTCCGGAGAGTTCTGGGCCAAAAGCCTCCCCTTGTGGCCTTTGTAGAGAGCCAGCCCAATCCTGGCACTCCCTATGTTTGTCCCAACATGTCTTTTCATTTCCACCCGCTCCCCAGTGACCTGATAATGCCATTTTTGAAGAAGCTGGTGATGGGATGCTGAGATTTGACAACCAGGAGTTCTGTGGACCAGTGAGGCAGAGAGTGTGCACAGCGTGGTTGTGTGTGTGTGTGTGTGTGTGTGTGTGTGTGTGTGTGTGTTTGGGGGGTCCTGAGCCCCCCTCCTTGCTTGGGGCAGCTCTGCTCACACCTATGATTTGTTTTTACACTTGCTTATAATTTGTACTGATTGGCAAGGTTGCAAACAGCTGTAAACCGGCACCTAAGAGGTGAGGCAAAAGGATCAGGAATCCAAGATCGCAGCCAGTTTGTCTCAAAAAGAAAAAAAAAAAGAAATTTAACCAGACTTGGCAGTGCAGACCTTTAGTCTTGGCACTTGGGGGACAGAGGCAGAGGTAGGCAGATCTCTGTGAGTTTGAGACCAGCCTGGTCCACATATCGAGATCCAAGAATATGTAAAGAGACCCTGTTTCAAAACACCAAAAAGAAAGTGAACAAAAATGTTTGCAGATTTATTTACTTGAGGATATGTGTGTGTGTGTGTGTGTGTGTGTGTGTGTGTGTGTGTGTGTGTGTGTGTGTGTGTCTTGAGACAGGATCTCAAAGGCTGGCCTTGAGCTCATTGTAAACTCCTGATCCTGTAAAGTTGGGTTGTGGCTTCCAAGCCTTTGGAAACCCCTTCTAGTTCTGCTGTTATGGTCCAGGTATGGACACAACAGCCCCTGGGCCTCACAGATCACCTATTAGCAAACTCAAGTTGCAATTTGAGGCAGATATTCCCAACCTTCCATTGTCATAGCTCATCCTCACACCAATGGCCCATCACCTCTGGACTCCTGTGTGCTCTTGTAAGTCAGCTCATCCTAGAAAGGGCTTCAAGAAGCAACATCATTCAAAGCCAGGGGCTTTTAACATTTTTAAAAAATGTTTCTTTATTATGTTTGTACATGTGCACTCTGGCAGGTCAGAACTACTGGTACTGGATATTGAACTCAGATCATCAGACTTGGAAGCAAGCACCTTACTCACTGAGCTGTCCTACTGGCCCCAAAGCTAGAGTGGTTTTGAGCTATATTTGTGTGTGTTATTTTGTTGTAGTTTGGTTTTCTTTGTTGTTGTTTTGTTTTTTTTTTTTTTTTTTGAGACAGGGTTTCTCTGTGTTACTTTGGAGCCTGTCCTGGATCTCACTCTGTAGCCCAGGCTGGCCTCTAACTCACAGAGATCCACCTGGCTCTGCCTCCAGGAGTGCTGAGATTAAAGGCGTGCACCACCACCGCCCGGCATTTTTTTTGCCTTTTAATCCTTTTAATGACAGAGACGGGCCCTAAAAAACCATCCTAACATAAAGCTCTCAGCCCCGGGCTCACCTGCTTCCTCCTGCATCTGCCATTTGCTTCTGCTATAGAAATGCAGTGTCACGAGCCTGAAAGGGAGTCTTACAGTTTGCTTTTGCTTCCCAGGTTTCACAAATGATCAGTGCCCACAACTCTGATATCCTGCCACAAAAGGATCGTGACAGCGCTCAGTCAAAAGCAAGATCTGGACAAACAAGGGAAGGGTTCATTCAGCGGTGGAGACTCATTGCCTTGATGAAGCCTCCTGCCTTGAACTACCGCAAGCTCTGTCTATGGACCGCATGCATTGGAACCGCTTGGTGGTTCACCTGGAGTCTCACAGAGATGGCCCCAGCATCCAGAGTCACTCACAGAGTGTGCCGAAGAACCAAGAACTCCCACCGTGACCCCCCTGTGGTTCTTGTACCCTTCTTGGACTGGACCTTGGATGGTGGCCTTTCAGCCACCATCTTTGTAAGTTGCTTGGTAGGGCAGCATTTTGGGCTCTTTGGCCTCTCATGGGAGAGGGCTGGGGACCAACCCTGGGTCTTCCCAGAGAAGACTGCCCATCTTCATAGGGAGAAGCCAGCTTGTGAATGAGGCTTCCTGTAAACAGCTGCTGGGCTCTGGGCAGCCATCCTGGTCTCTCAGGGCTTCCCGGGGGTCAGGAGACACACTTCTACTTCATCTCGTAGTAGGAAATTCTTAAGTTTCACTTCTTCTCTCTCACGGCTTGGATACTTCTCTCACTCTCTGGCGTTTTTATGAAAATGTCGTGGCTCTAAAAATAAAGTCCCGTGTTAAAGATACAAGTGGTTCCTGTGACATACAAGGACAGCCCCTCGACAGCAAAAGTGTCGACTTAGGAAAAAAAAAAAAAGGCTTCGGAGTGTAGAACACTAGTCTAAATGCACAAAGTCCTGGGTTCAGTCCCCAGCCCAGGGTGGGGGGTTCATTTAGTATGTTCTCATCTCATCTATATGACCCTCATTTGGTCATATAATGTGCCCTTAACTTGAATTGTGGATGAAGACAGATTAGGAAGTACCCAGGACTCCCAAAGCCAGGTCATGTGGCTTTGGGGCCACTACACACACACATACACACACACACACACACACACACACACACACACACACACACACACACACGTGTTTTCACCTGCAGCGATACGAATTCTTTTGATAGGAAAGAGCAGGTGTTTGTTCCAGCTGTTGGAGGGCTTTGGAGTCTGTTAGCAAAAAAAGAAAGCGCTTTATTTATTTATTTATTTATTTATTTTTGAGACAGGGTCTCACTATGTAGCTATGGCGTGCATAGAACTCAATATGTAGATGAGGCTAGCCTTTAACTTGCAGAAATCTACTGGCCTCTGGCACCCAAGTATGGGAATAAAGGTGTGAGCCCTACACCTGGCAATTATAAAAATATTTTAGTGTGTGTGTGTGTGTGTGTGTGTGTGTGTGTGTGTGTGTGTGTGTGTAAGTAGGTAGGTAGGTAGGTCTGAGAACAACTTTTAGAAGTTGGTTCTCTCCTTGCGCTGTGATTCCAAGCATAGAACTCAGGTCATGGGGCTTGCACTTTACCTACTGAGGCGTCTTACCAGATGATCCTGACCAACTTTTTTTTTTTTTTTTTTTTTTTTTAAGAATGAGCTTTCTTGTGGTGTAAGGAGGTTTCACAGATCCGTAGCCATTATGTTCCTGGAGATATTCAGGTAAAATTTTGGGTTTTTTGGTTTTTCTTCTATCATAAGATAAGGGGAAAAGAATAGGCATACTTTATACGCTGCTGACAATCACAGAGAGGAACTTTTGGTAGGTAACAGGCTTTACAGATTAGAGCCATAAGAACCTATCACCTCATGTCCCCATATGTCCCTCCCTATTTTTAGCACTTGCTCAGAGACTCCTGTATCAAGACCACCTTGTACCAAAGCAAAGGTGTAAAACCAGAGTTAAGATTGGTTCGTTTGCTAAGAATGTTTTAGCCTCTGTGGCCAAAGAGGGATTGACCAAGGAGCAACCGCTGAACTGGAATCGGGGTGGAGAGGAAGAACCCCAAATTTTAAAAGCCTCTCCGTTTGCCTGCACCATGGCCTCTAGCCGTTTAGGATGATTGAGGCAAAAGCCGTTGCAACGGGCGCGTGCAGAATTCCCAGAAGCATCCTGCCTACTCGTCACAGCCACTTCAGAGAAGGGCCAGGGCACACTGGGCTGTGTTCTGAGGTCTCGGAGAGTCACAGAAACAGAGATGGCTCCAGAGGAAGGGCAGCACAAACCCCCTCCCGCCTCTGAGGCGCAACTGAGGCAGAACTGGGTGTGGGGGCTGAGAGTCAGACGGTGTAGGTGCACGAGGTCCTCAAGTGAAGCAAATGCCTTCTGCAAACGTCAGGCAGTGCCCCAAGACTGCTGGGAGAATAGAAAAGGGTCAAGGCGGTCTCTTGCTCTAGCCACACTGTGTCAATGTTAAGTCTGAGACCCAGGCTGCATATAGATAGCTTCTGCTTCCTGAAGGCTCATACCCTGTCCGCAGCGGAAGGAAGAGCGCGCCGCACCGCACCGTTGCTCAGGCCACCCCAGGCTGTGATATGTGAGCATCTCCCTGCCTCTGTCTCTGCAATTACATTTGCTTGTTTGCAAGTTCAGGTGGGGCTGGGCTGGCAGGAGGTGGTTGGCTGCATGCTGAGCTGGATCAGGCGCGGCTGCCAAGGGTTGGGGGCTGTGATGAGGTCTGTACTCAGCGCCCCGACTATTGTACGGGAGAGGGAACTCAGCTGTCACTACTGCCTATAAGTCTTTACTAGATACATTTGGCTGCCATGTTGGGCCTGGCCTTCATTTTAAATAGGTCACATGCCGTGAACAAAGAAAAACTCATTGAATTGTTCCTTGTGGTTTTGCTTGCTTGGTAGCCTAAAATTGGAAACACTCAAAGGTCCAGAAAAAAATGATCTCAAAACCCTGGGTTCAATACCCAGCATGTTAAGAAAAAAATGAGAAGGCAGGGGTGATGAGGAATCAGTTAGATAAATTATGGTTCAGCTTTATAAATGAATTTATGCTGCTGTTAAGAAATGTGTTATCTAGGCACCTTTAATCCTAGCACTCAAGAGACAGGTGGATTTCTGTGAGTTCAGGGCCAGCTAGGACCACATGGTGAGACCTTGTCTCAAAGTATATTTATTATATAAAATACGTAAGAAAAAGAAAGTGGTGGTGCATGCCTTTAATCCCAGCACTAGGGAGGCAGAATCACGCAGATCTCTGTGAGTTTGAGGCCAGCAGCAGTCTACAGAATGAGTTCCAGGACAGAGAAACCCTACCTCAAAAACAAAAGAGAGAGAGCGAGAAGAATAAGAAAAGAAGGAAGGAAGGAAGGAAGGAAGGAAGGAAGGAAGGAAGGAAGGAAGAAAGGAAGGAGGGAAGAAAAAGAAAGAAAGGAAGGAAGGAAGGAAGGAAGAAAGAAAGAAAGAAAGAAAGAAAGAAAGAAAGAAAGAAAGAAAGAAAGAAAGAAAGAAAGAGAAAGAAAATGTCATCCTACTCTTCTACAAATTGGATTTTTGTCTAATGATCTACAGAGCCTCCAAGTATATGTTTTATATGCATAGAAAAGGGCCTGTAAGAATTTACTCCAAGAGATGACTCAGTGATTAAGAGGACTGACTGTTCTTCCAGAGGACCCAGGTTCAATTTCCAGCATCTGCATGGCAGTGCATAACCATCTGTAACAAGTTCCGGGTGGACCCAATGCCCTCTTCTGGCCTCCACGAACGCCAGGTGTAAAGGAGCCCACAGACATTCATGCAGGCAAAAGACCATATACATATATATAATTTTATTATTTTTTTTCTCTGTGAAACAGTCCTGGCTGTTCTGGAACTCATTCTGTAGACCAGGCTGGCCTCGAACTCACACAGATCTGCCTGCCTCTGTCTCCTGAGTGCTGGGATTTAAAAAGGAATTTACTTTAAGCTGTTACTGGCAGTAACTTTGGAGACTTTCCATTTCTGCTCTATAAAAACCATCATCTGGGGACTGAGGATGTAGCTCAAGGGTAGACTGTTTATCTGATGTGCACGAAGCTCTGGGTTCAATCCCTACCACCTTACAAACCCAGTATGGTGGGGAGCGTGCCTGTAACCTCAGTACTCAGGAGACAGAGACAAGGTGGATCAGAAGTTTAAGGCCATCGTTAGCTACATAATACATTTGAGACATCATCTCAAAATAAAGCAATAAAAATAAAACTCCAAGTATAGAACATTGCAAAAATGAGTAAGATTAGTATTTGAGCTGATTTTGTATGGATCTGTGCTTTCATATATTAATTTTATGACGATGGAGACAAAATTTTGGAAAAGGCCCATTGCACTTGTAAAAAAAAAAATTAGACCATCCAAACAATTCTTCCATAAATGTAGCATGAAACTTAATGTAGTGTGTCCCCTTACTTGCAGCCTGAATGGCCTTGGCTGTGAGCTGGGATCTCCAGTGTTAGGAGTGTCTCCCTCTCTGCCCTGTGGTGGGTCTGGATTTACAAGAGCAAGGAGAAGCATCTGGAAGTAGCACTGGTGTCCTCCTCTGCCTCCTCCAGAGAAAAGCAGCTGCAGGTGTGCTGCCCACCAGGCCCATCCACGGAGGCAGGGGGGCTCCGGCACCAGCCCCGTCTTTCATCCTTACTCATGCGCTCCCGACCACAGCAGCTCATCTGCACTATAGGAAGTGGGCGACTTGTTTTCAGAAAGAGATTCCCCAGCTCTTGCGGGCTGAGAAGCAGATCCGAATCTGCCACCCAGTCAAAGAGAAAGAGAGAAACAGCCCTGGGTTCACAGGCCTCTCCAGGCGGTAAAGGACAAGGAGACTTCCTCTATCATTTCTTGGGAAACCTCCTCAGCTCGTCACTGACGCGCTGTGGGACATGAGTCACTGTTTCCTGGACTCTTCCCATAGCACGGCGCAGGGACTCCCATCTGAATCCAAAGTCTCAAAATGGGGGTGGGGGTGGGGGATGGACATGTGCGGGACACCTCTGTTCCTGCTGTCGTTTTGTGTTTTTGCTGTTGTTTGTGGGAGGTTGTTTGTTTTCGGGTTTTGGTTTTTGTTGTCTTTCGGAGACTGGGTCTCACGTGGTCCTGGCCGACGACTTGCTACAGAGTCTTGAATGTCATTGAACTCTTGAATCCTCCATCTTCCTTCCTCCTCCTACCAAGCGCCGTTTAAAGGAGCATGCCACTGTGCCTGGCTGCTTTGGTTTGAGATAGCCTGTTCCTTGTGGGGGACTGAGCCCTCCTCCTTGGGAATCTTCATACTAGTTCAAATATACTTATTTGGGTCACCTTCCGCATGTCCAGCTCTCCCTGTGCATGGCTCAGGGGTACACCATGGGCAAGACAAAGCTAGCTAGGGCACGTGGTCTTTAACAGGCACTCAGCAAAAAGACTTCCCAGTGTCCTTTTCACCAGCCAGAGCCACGGCCTCTAGAAGCCACTGGCTTTTCCTGTCATCTGCTCACAGGGCCAGTGACCCTAAGCCTTGATGCAGGAAGTTAAGCAAAGAAACCGAGTAAAATGCTGTTTAGAGGTCTTCAGGACCCCGACAGCAGATTCTACTGAACTGAGAGAGCATGCCCCTCCCGTGGCTGCCCCTCCGGCAGCTCCCCGCCCACGTGCTTTCCACACTCCCAAGGGAATGCCTAGTCTACCCAGCATAAGTGGCACAAGCTTGGTGACCACGGAAAGAACCCAAGCTCAGAGACACAGCCATCAACAGGGCACTCAGATGTGTCCCAGCCATGAAGATTCAGCAG